CCGCTCCCGGCTGAACATAAGATGGTTTCATCTTTGCAGAAGCAGCAACAACAGCATGCTCACATCAGCTTCACTCTGGCAGTTTGATCAACAGCGGCAGTCATAGCTTCTTATTTTTTAACTGCAATATAATTAGGCACTTAGGAAAATGACTCTGAACAGTATAAATGCCACCGAGTAACTGCAGGTATCAGCATAGAGCTCCGCAAGCCTGAAGTTTAACCACAGCAAAAGGTACAGGCCAGCTGAGCTCCTGTAACGCATACTCTGCCCAGCTAGATACTGAGACGTTCTACCCAAACTGGAGAGAGATCCAGCGCTGCAACATTTCAGTCGCCAATGTAAGATCTTGCTCCATTTCTCCAGTCTGCAGGGAGCTGCTCTGGACCAAAGGAAGCCTTTCTGTGCCCCGCTGCTGCCTTCTCTCAAATGGAAAGCATGCAGGATAGACTAAATATTTTGATATTTTAGGCAGATGAGGTTTTCGCTTTGTCCCTGTGGATTCAGAAACTGGACACATTCATTCCCAACTCCAAACCGTCAGCTGAGAAACCTGCCAGCAAGTTTCTGCCGCGTCAGGGAGCAGGAAAGTGCTGCTGCCACGGAGGTGGACAGAGCCCATCTGCAGGGGCACTGCGCAGCCCGGGCTCCCCACAGCGCTGGTCGCTGCTGAGGAGATGATTAACCCTCATCTTCTTTCTCAGTTAAACCCTTCCCTCTTGGATCCTTCTTCTTCATCTTCACAGCAACGTCTACCCAGAGGAGCCACTTCTGACACTCATGTCAAGTGGAAAATCTGCTGGTCAGTGATACGACTAGACAGTCAGAGCAATCTGACCTCCAATCACCAGCAATGCTAAACGAAACAGAGGGAAACAAGGTGCCCAATAACAGAAGCAGGTAATTCCCTGGAAATGAAGCATTCTTTTGCTCTAGGATGTTGTGTGGCAGATTTGAGACTACCTCAAACGTAGGAGAAATCCTTTTATATACAGAACTCCCAAGAAAGCTGTCAAATTGGAGAAGACCATCAACACCATCCAATCCATCCATTCATCTCTGTGAGCCCAAAGACTTGGGATCAGCCTTTGGCTGCCATAACCATCAGGCAGGATGACCTTGAAAAGCCGCAGGGCATTTCTGTGCACTGACAGACTCACCCCCATGGACCTACAAGAGCTTAATGTAAGCAGCAACAACAGCAAGTCACCTCTGCTACGTTTCTCCAGAGAGCATCCAACTCACTGGGGTGCTGTCACCTGGTAAAAGTGCATTTGGGAAGGAAAAAACCATCAGAGGAAGCGTAACTTCAAACACCATTCTGCTCCTGTGGTGGAACAGTTCCCTGACCATGAGAAGTGAGCTGAGCTCGGGCGCGAACACCCACTCAGAGGACACTGCAACCCCACTCATTAACACCCAAGTAGCCTGCAAGTTCCTACGGACACCAACCAAGAACAGAGCGAAAAGCCCCGCAGACATCTTCATAATCTCCTCAAATGATACCAAAAAAAAGTAAAATACTGGAGGCACCGGGTGACCTTCCAAAGCGCATGTATCCTTTCTAACCCAGCCGTGCCTGGTGCCTTATTTAGCACCAAGTGAGAAAGAAGTGATGCCTAACAAAGCGTTAAAGGACCTTGTGAAGTTTCACCAACCTTCACACAGCCCGTCAGCTCCCTGGCTGGCTGGCAGAAGAGACAACTGATCTCCTTGCTTCCAGATTACAGGTGGCAGAGCTCTTAGGGTAACTGTCTCTTGGTGTTTGCATCCCGTTACCTCCAGCAGCTTGAAGTGTGCTTAAAGCGCAAGCAAGCACTTGATCAAAATCCAGCTCACACTGTAGGCAGCGAGGGAACAACGGCGCAAAGCAGCGCTCCATATACAATAACAATCGAACGAGGTGGAGGGATTTGACAGGTTACAGGTGGATGACACTGCTGCAGTCTCAGTGGAAACGCGGTTTGGTGCAATTAGCAACAGGGAACTTGAAAAACAGCAAAGTAGAATGGGAAATACATGTATAAAAGATGAGCAACTGCGGGACCGGACAGAAGTATAAAAATCCTACGCTGAGCTCAGAAGAGGAACAAGATGAAACAGGAGGAAAGGCAATTCTGAGCTCCATCACACTATTCAAAACTGAAGATCCGGATTTCAAATCAAAACATTTGCTTCCCCAGGAGAGACCGGCCCCATTTGCCGCAGGGATACAACGGAAGACAGCGTGGAGGCATCGCGGAGAGGCCGGGAGCAGAAAGCAAACCTCTGAGCCCTGTGCTGCGGTTCACTTTGGCTGGTGCTGAGCACAGGGCAGCCAGCCCAGCCAGGATGCTGCTCGGCTACGGGCGAGTGAAATCACATCAGAAAACATGGGGAGATGCAGAACACTGGATTAGACACACCGCCAGCGCATGCTCCTCTGCTAAAGGACAGAAGGGCACACCCCTCGTGCAGCCACACTGGCTGCTTCCCTCATCGTGGGTCAGCACCCTCTCCAGCACGGGGGGAACCCCTGAGGCCAGAGGCTGCGGGGATGGGCTCCAGGAGGCAGCAGGTCTCCCAGCCTTGTTTTGGGTAATATACACACTAACAGTGCAACTCACAGTCCACATACAAGATTTTGCTTCAGAGAAACCCACCAGAGTCAAAAACCCAGGCTGGCTGGGGGAGACCAAGGAAGACTCCTCTTTCTGACATGTTTCCCCCCAAATCTGCACCCACACCTGCAATGAGGACCTGTAGTGACCGGACGATGAGGCAGGCCACCATTTAAGCCTTTTGCAAGAGCAACTGAAAAATCTTCTCCTCCAGCACGCTGTGAGCGCTCCCCACTTCCACAGGCCCTTCGCTGCAGATGCCCAACGTGGAATTGCTACAAAAGAAAGGCACCCGAGCGATGGAGAAGGCACTTCTGAACAACACCAGCAACGGCGTTTATAATGACCGCAAGAACATCCATATTCTGCTTCAATGAGGGTGGTGGGGAGCTGCCAGTCTGAATACTAAGCAGGGACACCACACGCCTTCCATACATAATGGTACAAAAATGGAATATAAGTATATACTGCAGCTTTGTGAAATTCAGGGAGTTTTGCTAGACTTTTATGCTATACAAAGATTTACATTTGGAAAAGTCATTCTGCTATATCTGCCAGAAATTTCAAGACAAATGGATCCCATACTTATTCTTTCGATGATAATATTGAGCACAGGATAGTGCTCTTTTAAATTCAGAGCACTTTATAAAAATTAATTACTACTTAGTTCACCCTTCTGAGGTGGGAAGGTATTACACCTGCATACACATGAGGACACCAAAGCACAACTGGATTAAATACCTCGTCCAAGACCCCAGTGGCAGGCTTACTGATCATCCTAATTGCTGAAATACGTGTGCACACATGCAGCCGTGTGTGTGTTTAAATGGGCTTAGCCCCTCCAGAGCCCTTCCCAGCACATGAGGTTCTGTGGCAAAGCCAGCCTGCTCCGTTGATGTGCTCACCACACATCTCAAACATGTCTAATAAAAGACATCAACCCAAAAAAAAGCAAAGAGATTTTTTTTTGTGGGTTGTACGGGTAGGGATAAAAGCTGGATTTCAAACAAGGAATGCCAAATCCATTGTTAAAAAGCTGTGTAGTTATGATCTTTAATCAGATTGCCACTTCACCAGCCCACACTGGAGCACAGCAGACCCGAGACACCGCGTGCCGGCAAACGTTATAAAATCTGTCCCTTGACAAGCGTACAAAGAGAGAAAGGGATTCTGAGCTGGTGACAGAGACACATCACCACCTGCAATGTGACTGGCAGCCCACTCAACCTGCTCCAGTGAACCGAAAGCACTTTAGCAACCACTCCCATTGCCTGGCGGTTCGGTGACAGTCTCCTGTCCCTGCACTGGGTCGCTGGGTCCGTACCTCTCTGTCTGAACACCAGCAAAAAGAACACATTGTCACAGGAACAAAGAGGCATTCCGCGTCTCTGCAAGGCTTCTGGCGGTGCTGTCAGGTGGGGTTTCAGAGAAATGCTATAATTAGTCATCAGCGTGTTACCTGGACGGATGGTTTGCCACTGATGTGTGGGGTAAAACACTTCCAGGTCTTCGGGATCAGCATCATCTTCTGTTACCGGCTCTTTCCCGCTGTCATCTTTTATGTCGCTCTCTTCTATTTTTGTAAGGGCAAACTCCTTTCGGATAGAAGAGATTCAGCTCATTAGCAATTGCATCTGGGTAATTTAGTGCTGGCTGAGAATACAAAATTTTTCCCCTCGCCAGCAGATTTTTTTTTTTTTTGACATCTGAGATTCTTTCCACATGGTTAAATTTAGATTTAAAGTATATTAAAGGTTAAACATGCATAACTAGCATGACATTTGTGCTGAACAAGGCAACGGAGCTTATTTCCTATTCCAGAGCAGGCTGCAGGTTTAAGACAAGCTTTCGCAGAGCCTCACCTATATTACACACAGAGCTAGAAGCCCCGACTATTATTAGGGCTGTGTAATGTTGTAAGACCCTGTTTTCCCTTGTCTAAAAATATGTCAAACTTTTAACTTTTTCAGCTGAAATCTTCCACACAAGTGGAACGCCTCAAGCATTGTGGGTTTTTTCCCCTTAAATGCACCTGTTTCAGGCTTGGAGAAGATTTCAGCTAAAATAGTTCAGCTATTGCCAAAATAGGACACAGGGAAAACACACCGGATTACCCACATGATAAAAACACGAGCATCCTTTTCTTTACCCATTCCCGGTGTCCTCCAAGTCTTTTAAAACAATGAGGCAGCGTTTTAATCGCCACCCACGTCGCAAGCGCAGCACGGGAACGGCAGAGGTGTGGCAGATCAGCTAGTACGACTGGTGTGACATTACGCAAAGGAAAAAACGAGGATGAAAAGCAGGAAAAAAATCCTCGCTGTGAGAGAAACCTTGCTGTTCACTGGCAAGTCTCCCTAGGGAGCTGCTGGGAGTCGTGTAAAACTGCAACAGATAAAATTATTGAGAGTGCATCTAAGTAACAACCTGGTACTATCTCACACCAGGCTATCCACTGCTCGGGAAGCAGGTCCGGGCTGTTCTGGGTTTCACAGGAACAAACAGATAAGCTGCTCCAGCCTAATCGTCCAGACAGCTCAGTTTCTGTTGCTGGGAGTATGATCAGCTTCTACCATCGCCAAGAACACCACCACTGGATAATTTCAAATAACCAGCCTATAAGGAAAGATGATTCCTAATTGTTGGCAATTAGAATAAGAGCTATAGCTCGCTTCGTGAAGTGTTTTGATATTAATCCTTAGAACGTTTTCACAGAGAAAAAAGAGCAGTCGGTTAAGAGGTTAACTGCAAATTTTAGGCCATGTTCTGTCTTCACTTATTCCACTTCTTGGAAAAAAAGCGTGCGTATTTTCTGTCAGAATGCGGGTGCTTTGCATATAAATATCCATTATCCAGCCTAGGACAGTGTTTCCGAGCAAGAGAAATGTCAGTTTGAGCAAAACACGCACAATTAGCAACGACAGTGGGAACACATGAAGATGGCTGACAACCCTATAGAATGTTTCTGTTTTACCTGTCAAAAGGGATGGAAATGTTGGAAATGCACGGGAAAACAGAGCTCAACCTAGTGCTTGAGGCTTGAAATTGTTAAAATGATGACAAATGGTTAAGGCTCAGTAGCAATCATAAACATAAACAGGCAGGTTCTGCAGATGAAAATCAATGTTAACATTTTCAGAGCCAAGGCTCAACGGGACTAAAATAAATGAGTCAGAGCAGTTACTACTTAGCTTATTTCCACTGCTATATCATTATCCACAAGGGACTTCACCATATAGGCTATTTTAAATTTACCAACAGGCCTCTGAGTGTTGTATCTGTTGAAACACATAATGGAGATGGCTGATGTTTACCGGCTCTGCTTAAGAGAAGCGCCATGGTCTAAATGTTCGGTAAGGACGTCAGGATGTGACTTGGCTCATTTCAATGTTACAGTCACCGCTCAGCCCGCAGTGCCTTTGCAATACCCTATATTCATTAGTATTTCTGGCAAAAATGGGCAACAACACACAAGCCATTCTTCATTTATGTAGAAACTGGGTAGAATCCTTTCTGGTTTGTTTTCGTAATTAAAATAGTAGAAAGAAAGACGTTTTCAAAAGAACGATGGATGTTTCCTTCAAGGCGAAGTGCCTCCTTGCTTTATCAGTCTGAAATCAACCACAAGAAGCTGCAAAGCCGCAGCAGGGAGGGTCTGAGACAATCCACAGCCTGTTTGCAATAAAGGAGGGATGTGGCCAGCACCGAGCCCGTTCTCAGGGGAGTGCAGGAAAGGTGGCGGGACAGTGAACCGCCCCTTGCGTTCATCCTGCCTGCACCTGGGTGCCAGGCTGCTGGCCAAGTCAGGCCGTGTCACTGCCTGGCTGTCCCAGTGCTTGCTCCCAGCTGAAATGACTGTGCTCGATCTCCAGCCTCCTCCCCGCCCTCTCTGAAATAAAGACAAATTATCTCATTATTACACAACTCCAGGTGGGTCCTCCTGTTTGCTCTGGGTAACAGCACAGCCCTCAAACAGCTGCATCACACAGCCCACAGCGCAGCAAGCTGCAATGCAAAGGCAGGAGCCGGTGTTCAGGGACACAGGGTCCAGCGATCCCCTGTGCCAGTGTTGCTGGGGGACCCCCTGTTTTAAGCCACAGCATTAATTAAACTAAAACTAAACCGCTCCGGACTGCTACAGAGTGTGTCTCCTGCAAGCTCCTCGAGGCAGCTTTCCAGATCTGCTAATCCAGCAGGGCCTGGCACCTGGGACCCAGCAGCAGAATCCAAACCGGGGCAGTTCTGCACACCTGCACAAGTGCAATGGGGCAGACAGCGCCCACGCACCTCAACTGCGCCTTCAGAGTGACCCTGCAACTAGCAAAATCCACGCACGTGGGATGCAAGGATGGGAGAGGGTGCCCTTCTGAGCCCGACCCACTTACAGTGGGTGACTCAAGAGAGGCACAGCTAGGAACCTAACTGAGGACATCTCTTCCCCTCTTCTTGCCACTAGATCACATAATTAGCTTTGCTTCTCGCCACAGGAGGAACGTGTGACAGCTCCAAACAGAAAAAGTGACACGTAGCAAACAAGAGAGCTGCCCAAGCTGCACTGCTCCTGTTGCAAACCCTCCAGATTGACCATCTTCTGGGTTTCCCGTGGTGAGGCAAGCACTCTTAAGAAAGCAGCCCTTCTGAAACGTTACTGAAGACCCACTGTTGAGAAGAGCTGATTCACCAACCGCTGCTACATTCTACTTGGCCCTTCAGAGGGCTGAGGTAAGGCTGTCACCCCCCCAGAGACTGGCAGCTGCACGTGCGGCTCTTGGCCGGAGCAGGTGACACTTACGGGAACTCTGTCGCTGAGGCTCGAGCAGGCAAACACCGCAGCAACCACCCAGAGCAGCAGGTTGACTTTGGCAGCGGTGGAGAGGAGACCGGCCCAGTGCGACATTGCCACCAGCCTGCAATGCAAAGGAAAACAAAAACCAACAATATTTTAGTCCACGTTTTCACAGGTTTCAGCATCCTTGACGCGACATTTTGCAAAACAGCACAGGTTCAGGGGTGCGACACCGCAGGACACACAACACCTCGAGGTGTTAGCACACGGGTCTCATCGGGGGCAGCCGATAGCAGGGGGTGCGGATTTTACTGCTAATGGAATTTATGACAGGTAACGACAAAGCTTATATTGACCCCGCAGGGGCTTCTGTGTGTCCTGGAAAATATGAAGAGCCCTGTAAGTCTTGTTTAAAATCCCTGTGTTAGTGCCAGGGATGACAACAACAGGGAAAACTAAAAATCAGTGCAACCTTGCGAAGGCTTTTTATGCATATGCCTCACTTTAAGCAAAGAAGTAGCTGCGTTCGTTCAAATTAAACATAACGACCAGCCATCAAAGGATCAGGAGTTTATCTAAATCCACATGTAGGTTTTGCTTGAGGAAAATAACACTCTGCAGAGGTGAACAGGGTTTACTTGGCAGTTCCTACAGTGCAAAGCTTTCCCTGCTGCTCCGAGCGCTGGCTCCTCCAGACCGTGAGCCCAGGAGCTGGATCTGCCCACACCTGGAGCAGACCTCAAAGCAATCCCGTGGCACAGAGCCGCCCTGAGCGACCACAGACCACACACCGAACTAGAGAAGGGGGGAAAAAGAAAGGTCCTGCTCTTGTGGCTGCCAGTTACCCTGGTGCAGAGCTTGTATCCTCACCGCTCCGCGTGTAAGCATGCTCACGCACGCGCCTGCCCTCACCGCCTCGCACCACGAGGCTTTACATCCACCTCCAGCGTTCAGCTCGCTGCTTCTCACGCTGGGGTAGGGAACGGAGCAGCCTGCCAGCACACAGGCTGGAGAAGTATTTCCTTTGATTGGCTCTAAATTTACATGCTGCTAAATTAAACTAAATGAGGTCTTTTGAAAGAAGATGGGACTGATTAGTTCCGTTCAAACACTCCTTCATTACTCATCCCTCCATCAAGTCTGCTCCTACTCCTACCCAGGTTTTAAAGAGTTTCCTCCCATACATGCAGTCCTAAATATCTTTCTCTCTGCCTCCGATGTCCATCAGGATGGCACATCACATCACAGATTTTTTCCTTCCTTGAAGCCACCATCTTCTATTCCACAAAGCAGAAAATACACTCACAGGGACACCCAACACCAACTCCTGCCACCAAAGGACCTCTGTCCCCAAAAGGCTTTGGGGACACGGAGGCAGTGGAGTCCTCTCCTTCCTCCCCCTTCCTGCTATCTTGTCTCCCCACTCCGTTACGTTACTTCTTCCTCTTCCTGCTTGGTTTTTGCTTTAGCCAAAAAAATAAAATAAAAGGCAAAACACCACATCGCGCTGGTCAGTGTTGGACACCTAGGGAAGAGCAGCAGAGCAGAGAGCACAAATACATCTGATACGCTTCTGCATCTTCCAAAAACTCCTGACCCACGGTCCTCCTGAACAGCAGCCTCCACATCCAGATTAACCAGATTTTTGTTTCTCCCATTAATTGCTTTTGGAGCAGATCTGGACTTCTGACACCCACAGCATCCCTCAGCAATGAGTTCCCCTCCTTAACTCACACCGTGCACGGGAAGTACCACCTGGCATTTCCAACCTGGTGCTCGATATCCTCCTTCCACATCTCCTCTTTTCTAAAGGGTCAAAGAACCACCCTCAAGGACCCACAAGCCCTCATTAAACTACAACCAGAGCAGAAGACAAGCTCTTCATTTTCAGAAGACAAGCAAAGACAACCTGCAGCCAAAGCCTCCATCTCTCTTGGGCCACTGCCAAGTGTAACCAGGCTACAACCAGCACCCAGGCTGCTGAGCTGGAAAACCCCGAGCAGAATTCACAGGCTCAATCTCCACCTGCTCCCTGCAGAGCTCTGTACCTTCTGCCCAACGCCACAGTCAGGACCTCGGTGTCAGACTGACCACGACGCACAGTTCTCCCCTCAGCTCATCTCAGAGCAAACTGCTGCTTTTTACACAGGAAACGGGTTTTTTGGCGTTTGGTTTATTTTTTTAGTTATAAAACAAGCGGCAAAACTGGGATAATGAAAAATAGATGTATTCCTAAAACTTCACCTGCAAGCCTGGAAACAAAAAGAGAAAAGAAGAAAAAGAAATTCAACAAAGCAGCGGCTGAAAGAAAACGCACATTCCCATAAAAATAGAGCTCACGTGTACCGAGAAGGCTGGTAGCAAATGACAGCACAGCCTCTTTAAAGCCTACAACCTCATGCCTGCCTGGAAGATGACATCTGCACAACAATTAGCAGTTTGCTTAGGTCCCAGGTAGGCAGGAGGAGCTAACATGTGAAACACGGGGGTTTGAAGCTCCTGGAGAGAAGCCCACGCAGGCTGACATCTCATTACAAGACCGATGCACGCAGAGGGCGTGAGAGGATTTCCAAACAGAGTGTTATGGGATACAATGCATTTTTAGAACTGACCCTTGCAGCTCACAGGTGACCCCACCAGCATGGGGAGCATTTGCTCTGATTTAAGGACATCATTTTGGATCCAGCAGCATCCACGTACAGCTGCAGCTTGTTAGCACCAGAACCACTGTAGGAGGAACACAAATTCTCCTTCTCCAAAGTGGAATGCATTTTTTTTTTTTTTTCTAATCGTCTTCTTTTGTCAAAGAAAACCAGGTACAAGGGAAAGTGCAAAGGGTCAGACCCAGAGGAGCCTCTGCTCCTGGCAGTGCTGCTCCCATCAGAGCAGGTGATGTTCTCGGCTTCGCACTGCTGGGAGGTTCTGCTCTGCGGCTCCAGAAAACCCCGTGTGCGCTGGCGGCCACAGAAACCATAGCACTGCCATTATGTTCTCTATTAGCAGGGACATTTTTCCCCGATTTTACTAGCTGCACATCAGTAAGTGCTGCGGAGCCTCTGCTCCTGGCAGTGCTGCTCCCATCAGAGCAGGTGATGTTCTCGGCTTCGCACTGCTGGGAGGTTCTGCTCTGCGGCTCCAGAAAACCCCGTGTGCGCTGGCGGCCACAGAAACCATAGCACTGCCATTATGTTCTCTATTAGCAGGGACATTTTTCCCCGATTTTACTAGCTGCACATCAGTAAGTGCTGCACAGCCCTGGGAACGCGGCTGCCGTAGTCATAGGTGACAGTTCAAAGCGAGTCAGTATGAGGAACATATTTCATTAATGCCTCTGCTGCTGGGAACGCTCCGCTCTTTCATGTCCTAACTCAAAGCCCACGCTGCGTATACCATGCCACTCCAATAAAGCCATCTGAAGCCTCAGCTGAATTCTGAGCTGCTGCTCCAAGAGAGCACATGGATATCCCAGAGAGCTCCCCAGCCCCCTCACTGGGCTCGGGTTTTATGGCCAACTGGAAGCAAGAACAATAAGCTAATCCTTGTTCTCATCTAGGGATCAAGGGAGCAGTACAGGAATTATACATCTTGCAAAATTGTCTGCAAATTTACTAGTTCAGGTCAGGTATCTGTTCATAGAATCACAGAGTGGTTTGGGTGGGAAGGGACCTTAAAGCCCATCCAGTGCCACCCCCTGCCATGGGCAGGGACACCTCCCACCAGCCCAGGTTGCCCAAAGCCTCATCCAGCCTGGCCTTGAACCCCTCCAGGGATGGGGCATCCACAGCTTCTCTGGGCAACCTGGGCCACTGCCTCACCCCCTGCACAGGAAAACATTTCTTCCTCAGATCTCATCTCAATCTCCCCTCTTTCAGCTTTCTAGCCTTCATCGAGATGGCTCACAGTAACGAAAGCGCCAACAGCACACTGTGTGTCTACAAGCACAAACAATGCCCAGCGCTCCCCTTGCTGAGCATAGGGCAGCACTGGAGAACAATCCAACAATGAAAGACATCGAGAAACACAGCCCCAGCACCCTCCAGCTGATCCAGTGACACGAAGACCTCCAAGCACTTCCAGCTTCTCAGGCTGAAGCCAAAGTCTGCTGGGCAATAACAGCTAAGGAAACTGTTTTAAAGACAGATGTGTAAACTGGGACATCTGATTGAAGAGGCGCACTCAGGACACATACTGCAATGAGTGACGAATCTAGGTCCCTGCTGTAAACACAATGTCATTGTAACGACATTGTACGTACATTGTACATCTACGGCTCAGACCAGCAGGATGTGCTAAGTGATGTGCAATGGCAACAGAGAAAGAGAAGGAAATTTAGCTGACCTGACCCAAAATTTTCTTCCTCTGAGCAATAAAGTCCCAGGTCTGTAACCAGCACTTGTTTTTGCTGATTTGATACTGAAGAGCAGAGCGGTGTCAGTCAGACACCTCAGGAACGTCCCATGGCTAGCAGTACCTCTTCATCCGACAGACGACTGTGCAGCTCCACTGCCAGCAGAACAAGGAGGCTTTCACCTGAAATTCAGCCTGGGCGTAAGAGAGGAAACAGCTGGTGGACAGACAGAAGATTACCAGGCCACAGGACACTGTGCCCTTCCCTGTTCATGACAACCGGGTCTGCACAATCTCTGCTTTTGAACAAATGAGCAGAAACAATCTGTAAATATGACCATCCTCTCTTCTTCCCAGAGGCACAGCCCTGAAGACCTGCCTCAGCTCTCCCCGCCCTGACAGCACGTGGACATTACCCTGTGGCTTCTGGCACGAAGCAGAGGATTTCTTGTGTTTCCTCTGGAAACTGGAGCTGTAAGAAGACAATTTGCCCATATTAAAAAGGCAACAGCTCTCATAAGAGAGAGCATGGGTCCTGTCTTTCCAAACACATTTACCTGGAGACATTGACCTGCAGCACGTTTTAAAGTGGAGGATCCAGCAGGAAGATGCACGGGTGACAGACAAGATGCTGCAAGAACCACAAGGAACTACCAAACCTTGCACCAGGTGAGCATTCCCTACTGCCCTCAATAACAACAGGACTTGCGAATCTCTGATCTCACTTTTTCCCCCTTAAAAGCCATCTTCACCTTCTCTCATGCTTTC